CCGCCGGTTGGTACGCCCATAGATATACCCCGGTGACTCGAGGCGTGAGCAGACGTAAGCTCCCGTATCATAACGCAACGTAAACAAAGCAGTGCTGTGGGAGCCAATATCCGAGTGATGTACGCAAACATTAACTTTAACCTTGCTCTTAATCTAAAATAAACGAAACTACAGTCACTCTATGCCTCCCTCATATAACCGGCTGGAATTTGTGTTGACGGATTGGTACAATATTATGCTCTAACGTACGGTTAATGACAATCGTACATGTACACGGGTAATCATGCAGCGTGGACCATAATATGTCTGTGAACGGCATTGTGTCATTTAGAAAGAATTCCCATTGGTTGCAGGTTGTAGAATACATCAAACAGTATCGAGAGATTACCTGCTTGGTCGGCTATTTGCAATTGCACTGCAATATCACATCAATATCCAAGAGGTGCTTTCAATTTTAGATACTGACCTTACTCATAATTTATAATAAACGAAACTATAGTCGCTCGATGTGTCCCTAATATAAGTGACAGATCGGTAGAATGCTGCCTCGTATGGTTAATGACAATCGTACGTGTACACGGGTCATTATGCTGCCAAGGCAAAATTGATGAAGGTATCAATCCTGTTTACGCGTTGCTTTTTAAGGTCTAAACGATATTCTTTAATTTAGAAAAAAAAAATTCCCATTTGATTCACTTTGTAGAAAACACCAAACATCGAAATATTACCGACTTTGTGAACTCTTTACAACTGCAATACAATATCGTATCAATATCCGAATGGTTCGTTCAAATTGGGATAATGGGCTTACTCGTAGCTTAGAATAAACGAGACTACAGTCACGCGAGGCCTCCCTGATATAACTGACTGGAATTCTGGTTGACAAATCGGTCGAAGGCTGTCTCGTTACGGTTCATGCCAGTCGCTCGTGGGTCCTCATACAGCGTAGAGAGAATCGATCTAGGGATCAGTTCTGTCTACGTTGCTTTTTGACATGTCTCTAAACGAAATTGTGCTATTTAGAAAAAAAAAATCCCATTTGTTATAGTTTGCAGACTAAATCAAACATTACCGAGAGATTTCCGACGTAGGGTACTCTTTGCCACTGCAATGCAATATCACATCAATATCCAAGTGGTGCGTTGAAATTTAGATATCGACCTTACTCTCTTAATCAAGAATAAACAAAACTACAGTCACTCGATGCCTTTCTAATATAACTGGCTGAAATTTTAGTTGAGAAATCGGTCGAATGCTCTCTTGTACAGTTAATGACAATCGCATGTGCACATCTATTCGGGTCCTGATGCAGCGTAGATGGAATTGATCCTGGAATCAGTCCTGTCTACCTTCCCTTTTAATAAGCCTGTGAGCGACATTGTGTGAGTTGGAAAATTTGGGTCTGTTACAGTTTACAGACTACGTCCAACAGTATCGAGAGATTTCCGACTTGGGTGCCTCTTTGCAAGTGCAATGCAATAGCACATCTATATCCTAGTGGCGTGTGCAAATATTATTAGTGACCTTTCTGTTAATCCAAAATAAACGAAACTACAGCGATAATTTGATGCACGGAACTTGACACGCTCTACGTTTCTTAAATTGTAAATGAATACAAAAGCACCGTGGCGAAGGAAACAGCGTTTGTATTTAAATTACACACCGAATCGTACAAAAAAAAAGTATATGTAGCGCGTAACATGGGCTCGTTGCCAACGTACTGTCTAGAACCGCCGAATTCGTCAATGGCTCATATTTCTGTCTTGGGAATGACTACATTTGACGACGAAGTTCTCTAAGAGGCACTCCCGTTTTCTACTTCGACGTACAACTCTGTAAAGTTGGATATTTGTTATATGGACGTTTCTAAAGTCGACGGATTGTCCTGTTAAAAAAACCTGCAAAGGCGTTTTGAATGTACAGCTTTTGACAGTCAACTCGCTTAATATCTTTTGTTTGCTACTATACGAGTTTACTTCAGTTTAATTTCATGAACCTCAGAAGGAGACACTGATACCAGGCACGTAGCCAGGATTTTGTTTCGGGGGGGGGGGGGGGGGGGGGGGGGGGGAGAGGAGGTCCCAACAAAATGGAAGATTTCGGGGGGCGGGGGGGGGGGGGGGGAAGCGGGCCCCTTGGCCCCCCCCCCCCCCCTCCCCCCCCTGGCTACGTGCCTGACTGATACCTTAGTTCCACGGGAACCTTTGACCGCAGTTCAGTCTGACATCAATTATACTTTACTGCACTTTGGGGCGCTCACGTCACTAGGGTATATTTGAGATATCTTTGTTTCTTTTCTTACAGAAGTGTTTTTAGGAATGAAGAGTGTTTGGGGTTGGTTTTGTTTCATGCTCTGACTAAACTGCTCTGCGAAGGATTACAAATATCTGCCTCAGCCTAGAACCGGTTCGCGCATGTCGTGTTGTCTTTTTAGTCTCAGTGTCGTTCTTTGTAATCCTTCGCAGTTTAGTTTAGTCAAAAATTGTCATCCTGGGTATGTGACGGCGGCTTTGGGGAAAATCGTTAAATGTATGGTTTTGCAAGCAAAAACAAACTGTGCACTTGGAGAAACGTTTCTACGTAAGAATAATAATGGAATGTGAATCTCAACATGACGTGCGCATGAGAGACGTGAAACTTTATGTGTCTGCGCAAGTATAGGCTTTTTTTTCTTCTCGCTTCTATATTCGCCAAGCTCCAACTGTAAATTGAAGGGGATTGGCTCCTCAAGTACCAATTCCCTGGAGTTTTCCGTGCCCCATTTGGGGATGAAGTGCCACGGAAACTTTATTTTGAGACTGGACTGCAGGAATTAATAAGGTTCATAAGGACATTGGTAATTTGTTAGAAATACGTGCACACAACCATACAAAATTGATCTAAAAGTCACGGCACTACGTGAGGAAGAAGTGGTTTTGCGTCATCCAATTATAGTTTCACCGTAATTGGATGTCCCAAAGCCAATTACGTTCGTAGCAAAGTGTTATAAGTTGGCTGCTCTCCGCCTGTCAATACTTAGGCGGATTAGCCTGAGTATGACCTACTCTATAAGTTACTAGCTTGAGTATGACCTACTCTATTAATTACCAAAGTTCTAGTGCAATCTACCAAAGAAGCCTTGGAAATGACGATGGAGAGGAAAATGCAGAACGTTTCTTAATTGATGACTTGTAAGTTGTAACAGAAGTGATAATACGCTGCAGAACGTAGCAAACACACTCTCGATCGGCGGAACCATGTGTATTTTCAAAACATGAAAGCATGCATATTAGGGCTTACTCCTCGCAACAAGAATTTATATAGAATAAAAAAGCCAAAAATGTCTCTGGGACATTCTCGCTTAGTGAGGATAACTGCTTTTGTCTTTTTATTAGCACACGGAAATTGAATTGAATCGAATTTATTTTCGCCAAATTGTGCCGAGGACACCGGACAAAAAGCCTCCATGAGGAGACTTGACAGGGTCCGGTGCCCTGTCAGTGGACGGTAAGATCCTGATTGGTCAATAAATAATTCATATTAAAAAAAAATATTAGGCGGAGCGGATTCGAACTTAGAACCTTTCGGTTCGCGAGACAGACACGCTACCTACTAATCCGCATATACACGCTCGCAGGCTTGGGAACGAGCGAAGGTTTATACTGAGCTATTGAGTTCCACTCGATAGCTCAATATAAGGCAAAGCTTCAACGTCCTCCTGTAAAATTGAGTTTTACAATTTTCTCTAAAAAGAGCCGTGAAAGCTACACTTATGAGGATTGTGCACGTGAGTTTTACGGCAAGGGGGACAGAGTATATGAGTCTAATCGTAACGATTAGTCGGCGAATTAAGCGAAATTGATCAATTTTAGCTTTTTAATGAGTGAAATAATGCATGATTCTAATTAGGAACTTGCTGAGCGTCATCCGAAACCGCTAAGTCAATCGTTATTTAAATATACCTTGAGCGCGTGGGATGCGTAGTAGTTCGCTAAACGTACCACTCGTGCACCGGGTAAAAAGGCTGGGGCTATAATAAGAGACGGAAAAATCGCCCGTTCGCCTTGTCGGACCGGTGACCTCGCTCCTGCTGCGCGAGTGGTGACTTTTGCGCACAACTGCGCTCAAAGTCTTTCTGAAATTCCTTGTTTTGTGGTTTTCGATGGAGCTCAGCAAGTTTTAATTGGAGCAACATGTCTATATTCAATAATTAGAAGGTTAATTAACTAATTTTACTTCATGAGCCCGCTGACCTTTACGATTAGCCCCCTGTACGATATCCCCCTGGCCGTATAACTCACCTGCACAAACCACATAAGTTTTGCTTTCACGGATTTTTTTTTTTAAACAAATCTGCGAAGCTTAAAAAAAAAAAACACAAAAAAAACAACAAAACACCACGTGTATATATATCTTGACGTAATGACACCATGAAAGTGTAACTACGCTAACCAGTATCCACTTTACACGTCGAACGGATTATTAACTATAGCACTCCTTGTTTGTTTTTTTTAATTCGGGGACTGTTTTGGGGGCATATTTTCCCCGCAAATCAGGTGTTTTCAGCCGCCGTTTCGAGTGTTGAACAAGAAATCAGTGTTTTTCGGGTCTTATCTCGAACAAAACATGACGAGGGCGTGAGATTCCCGAAACTCCATATTAGATGCGCGTGGCTCGAATAGTGCATGGAAAAAAACATTCTGACACAATTTATACAAAAACAAATATGGATGAGGTCAGTGGTTTTAGGCAAAAATAAGCAGCCTCGTAAACGGTTCATTGTTGATTGTGTTCCGGGTCAACAGACAAACAAAGGTGCGGTTAAAAATTTTTTCACGTTAAGCTCGATTTTTTGGTTTTTTTTTCATATTCAAGGACAGCGGCCATTGGGTATATTTCTATTTCGTGCGATTTTGATAACAACGGCTCAGGATTTATCAGTATACACCGAAAAGAGCACGCCACCTAAGCCTCTTCTCACTTCTCGCACTGGTTTAATTTCCAGAGCATGCCGGACGAAGACTGGGACGACGATCGCCGCGACCCCCACCGGCTGTTCGGGAACCAGCTATACCTCAACTGGTCCCATCTGAGCGTCCGGGAGGACGTCTTCCGTTCCGTCAAACTCTGGCTGGACAAAGGCATCGACGGCTTCTACGTCAAGCACTTGGATCGTCTCCAAGTCCAGGACGACCGAGAACTCTACGAGGTCCTATTGTCCTGGAGAAGACTCCTGGATGACTTGGACGCGGTCGACGGCCGGGGGTCGCATCCTTATGACGTCCGTCGACATCGTGGGGCATCTGGCGGGCTCCGTCTTCCTCCAGCCGGTCCTGGAGCTCTTTGACCTTCTGGACGTCCCCGTGGCTGTCGAAGGCGGACCTGCCAACGTGTCCGAAGTCTTCGGGAGTAGGGTGCGAGAGGTGCTACGGCTGAGGAACTCCAGCACTGGTCCCTGGTTCAGCTGGAACATCGGGGACTCGGAGAGTTCCCGCCTGGCGTCGCGGGTGGACGTAGACCCACTGACGGCCCTGTTCACCCTGTGGGCTTTGCCTGGAAGCATCTCGGTCCTCTACGGTGACGAGATCGGGCTGAGGGACGCCTTCGACGTGACGTCGGGACGGGTGAGTCGGTGAGACACGCGCGGTCTCTTGGAATTACGTACCCTGCAAAGCCGCGGCCATACTGCTAATACGTCATGCAGAAGACAATCTGGCCACACTGTCTGAGGAGTGTTCCTTCCTTGAATGGGACTTTCGTGTCATGTTGGTCATACGAAACTCTCGGCAGACATGTTCGTAGCGTATAGACATGTAGAAGCAAATATTCTTCAAACATGTCTGAGCCGTGTCCGCAAATGATTATGTCGTCATGTCGGCAGCGAACACCATGTATTTTTGTATGACGTATGAAGAGGGTGGCTGCAGCTTTAGATTCGCGGATGTTAGGGCTAGCAGCCGGACGCCAACCATAGCATTGCTTCATCGACGTCCCCCTTCCCCCTTGCTCTTGGGTATCTCATTTCGCGCTCGTGCCGGGGATAATCTAAAACTGAACTCCCCCGAGATTGGACATAATTACCTGCCTGAAGCGGGCTAATGGATTTCCCGGAATATTGGTTGCCCCCGTTTGGGTAACGGCCGTCCGCGGCAATGTGGGGAAGCCAAACGGCTGCGCACCCAACGTCGGCCGACGAGATAAGTTCGGTTTGGTACCTCCCTTCTTTGCTCTGCCCAGATAGACTGCAGTCTAAATACATTCAAGAAAGCGAACTAAATATACGTATATATATAGACGTGTGGATGTAGTGGGTTTTATATTCTGGGGCGTATATTGTGGTAGTCATTTTATTCTAGTCAATCTTAGAATAAAGACACGATCGCTACATATAAATGACATTATATGACGCCAACTTGCTGAGCTTCATCAAAAGCCCCTAAATCAGTCAATTTTAGGGAGAAAATCAGTCAATTTTAGGGAGACTTCAAGCATGTGGGAAGTGAGAGTGTAAACTACAGTTCTCCCACGCGCCGCAGGCGGAAACCTGGCGATTTCGAAGACGCGGGTGATTTTATTACCGTCCGTGGTTTCTTATCGCCAGGCTTCCACCAGCAGTACAAGCAAAAACTTTAACAACTCGCCCTTCCCCCATCCTCGTTTTTCACGTACTTTAAGTGTCCCTAAAACTGATTGATTTATGGCTTTGCGATGACGCTCAGTATAAGTTTCTTATTATAACCATGCGTTTATTTTCATAAACTAAAATATTAGTTTGTAGATTCCAGGTATTTATTTTTGCTAATTTGTGCGTTTTTCCAAACGCTGACGTTCGCCATGGCTGACAATTTGTTCACAAAAGAGTTATTTTTTTTTTCACTTCAAACCTTTTTTTGTAGGGGTTTTGGAAAGTACTAGCAGAAACACCAGGTGTATTGAAATTGTCCTGCGCCAAGGTGTTTTCGACAACTTCATACCTGAAGTTTGCGCAAAGCCATGGCGTGTTGATGCTGTGCCGTGACCAAGTTGGATATCCGAACAAACGACACGGGCGCACGATTTCGCGAAGCGAAGAGCTCGAGGCAACTTTTTTTGTCACGCCACCGAAAGGTTAACGTCGTGCCGAGCGTTTTCCAGAAACGCGCATTAACGCTTCACAAACGACACGAAAGAATGCAATTAGAGGGCTAACTCGCAAAACGGCAGCTCGTAAAATGTTTCCCGAGAAATAAAGAGCTTCCACATCAAGTAACTTCGCCATCTATATGGCAAGCAGAATTTGTATCGTAATGAGTTTATTTTTTGCTGTTTCTTCTCTTTGGATTTTGAAGTTTGCGATTCTTTATCTGTTGATTTTATCAACTGATGAGGATTTCTAGTTTTACGTTTGTTTAACAAGATATTTTCTAAAGATTTACCAAACATATTTGTGGAAGCCAAGGCACTATAAATGTAATATCGCTTTCGGTAGTTAAAATGTTCAGTTTGTGTAACGGAGTTTGTGTGACGGAGAACAAGGTTAACTCATTGGCTGCATAGGGACCATAAGGTGCTCTGAATTTGCCTCGCCCTGTGTTTCTTAAACTGCCAATGACGCTAACTTGTGTATAGCGTACTTGACTGAGTAGAAAAGACAGCTTGATAGGCGAGTTATCTCGTTTATCCGAATCACGTGTCACTTTTCCACCATAAGACAGGCGTACGCAAAGTGAAAATTAAAGAACTCCATAAAACATTTAAATAGTCGGGTGCATGGGTGGATGAATAGATGTTAACGGCTGTACCCTTTAAATCAGGCGGTAGCTTGCGCCACCTAGTCTAGAAATGAAGAAGCAAAAGTATGATACTTACCTTGGCCAATTTGCTTACCCTCAGCAATTTCTTATTTATCACCAGGCGGTGTGGCATATCACCAGGATGACCTTCGGAAGATCGGGCAGAAAAACTAAAAACTTCAACCGCCCCCCCCCCCCCCCCCCCCACCTCTTCTCCCCAGCGAAGGAGTCGCCAGTTTTCCTCTGGTCAAGCCTGGTCGGCATTACGCCGGCACTAGGAGAAAGGGTGGAGACTTTGGGCCGGAGCCAAGCGGGTGGGAGTCACAGTTTTCCTCTGTCCCCAGCTGTGTCATTTAGTTGTAGGTCATTCAAATCTCCCTAGATAATTTCCACCGGTCTTGCTATCTCCTCTTCGTTATTCGGATACGCTTATCATCCATTTTTCCATTCTCGTCTGCAAACCCCAGCGCTCCGGCGAAATCCGTCGCCCCCTACGGTTGACGGGAGCAAGCCCCTGTGCACCTCAGCACCTCATCTTCTATTGTCTCGTCATTCTTTCGTCATGCGGCACACCGCGTATCCATTCCCTCCTCCTTTGTTCCATATGTCCTAGTCCTCAATACTACTGTTCTAGCCTCGAATAACAAGCTCTCCGGTGAATTATCATACAAATGTTCCTTCCTTAATTCCTGTTTTCGTCGACTATACATTGATAAGGCTGATCTTCCCTGCATTTCTTCTTCCCTTATCTTGCTCTCGGCTTCTTTTGCTTCCTTTTTCACAGAGGTAGTTTGTTCTGCCTTCGCGCATGACTGTTGACATTTGAATTTTAGTTTTTGGGTTCGGTTTCTTCATTTAGTGTTCGAACTGTTCATGTATATATGCTTATACGCCTTTTTCGTTCATCGTATATCCTCAATTGTGCCCAGTCATCGTTGGAATTTCAACTTACTTATCGCCTCTCTAGCCTCGAAAGATGCCCTTCCCATGTCTCCCTGCACTCCTCCATTTGGTGTACTCCCATGCGCCCTCCAGTGGCAGTCTGCTCACGCTCTTGTGCCGGGTCTCTAAGCTCAGTTGGACCTCAGATTTCATGCATAATACCGCATTGCCAAAAATGCAACTCCGGCACTATGACTCATTTCCATATTCCCCGAACAACTTCATATATATTGTAATTCCATAGTGACTTACGCTTCATAATTGCTGCATTCATTTTTCCTTTCTTCAGCACATTTTCTTCATGTTCTTCCAAGTATTGTTTTCCCTCATTCAACCGTACTCTTAGGCATTTATACTTCTCTACGTGTTGTATTAAAACGTCTAGAATTTCGAGCGGGTCCCCGACTTTTCGCAACTGAATTTCAGAACCAGAGAGTTTCCTTCCTCTCCGAAGATCTTAATCAGCTCCTGTAACCTATCCCGGCTATCTGCTAACAGTACAATGTCGCCTGCGTAGAACATTCTATTCTTCCCCCTCTCTCTATATAGGACGCAACAAAACCTAAATTGCGCTCTTCTAATTTATTTTCCATTCTACTCAGGTATACCATAAAAAGTAGAGGTGATAAGGGAGAACTCTGCATGAGTCATCTTTTTATTTCTGTCGGTTGTGTTATTTCTGCTTCCCATGATGTAACAACCTCATTAGTTGTGTATTCCAGTTTTGTAAAAACAGATTAAATATGTATCTAAATAATACTCGTTCAGTTGTACTCAGGCGTTCCCCTGACTCACATTGACGTACGCCACCTTAATGTCTATAAATGCTATTCATTACGGTTTTTTACTCGTCTGTGCCCCCTCTACATTGAGTGCTGATAAATAAGTTATAATCCAATCTTCGATATCTTTGGAACCCATTCTGAGGCTCACCTAAATGTTTTTGGCCAATTCTTATATTTTTCTATTTATAGCCTGTATCTATACTGTCTTTTACAGGACAGTACTTACTCCTATTGGACGGTATGATGTTATGCTATTCTTCTCTTCCTTGCATTTATATAGTAACCTCATTCTGCTTAGTCTCCAATCGTTGGGCACCCCTCCCCCCCTTATTATTTGGTCAGTTTCCTGTCTTAACTTTCATTTGATTTCTGTCCCTAGTGTCTCGACTAGACCCATTCCTATTCCATCCGAGACTGTCGCTGTTCCAGCAGGTACTTCACTTTCTGCTTTATCTCATTCTCCCGTGGTCGCCTCAGTTGTCTCGTTAGTGTTCTCGTCGTGTGCCGTGTTGCTGTTTGTGTTCTGCTGAATCTCGTTCGGTTCAAGCTCTGCGAATGTTGCCTCTATTGTTTGCCTCATAAATTCTCTCGCGTCCTCGCCCTCTACACTTATCCCTTCTTGTGTGGTCAATCAACAATGGAACCCTTCTGTTTTGTTCTTCCCTGCGCATCAATGCACCCCCAGAACCTTTTTGCTGCATTCCTATAATTTTTATTTACCTTCGTCTACTACAGTCCAGCTCTACCAATCTTTGACTAGATTAGAACAGATGCCTCTCTTTCTCTTTCCTGAGATGTATTCCATTTCGATGATACCTCAACGAGTGTGTCCGCCCCCCCCCCCCCTCCCCCCCCCCCCCCCCTTTTCTTCGCTTTCAGTCCGCAACCATGGTTCTCTACTGGAGCTGCCGAACGCGCTTCGAAACATGCGTAATTCCTCTCCTTTTACACGGCCCCAGTGAATCAGCATTCTTCGCTCGAGTTGTGCCAAAAGAAACTGATGGCAGAGCAAGTTATATATAAGATCGTGCAGCCACGTCAAAGCGCCGAGCTCTGATTGAAAGGACATTGAGTATGTACTCAAAGGCCAGACACTGCCCGAGGAGCGGACGGCTCTCTTGTTCCACTCTCATCGGACGGAGACAGTGAGTGGAGACAAAGTCAGTTAGCCTTTGCGTCTCCCCCCTAATTCTTCCAATGAGAGCGTCGGTCGCGCTCTGACGTAACCGCGAGCTTTCACATCCTCCTCTCCCTCGGGTTACCTCCGTACAGAACAACACGCTGTTTACCAACAGGTCCGCCGTTTGTTAACATGTGCAGAAACCGAATTTGCGTTAGGGGACGCCACTGCGCATGCGCCACGCCGACGACAGCGCCACCTCAGCGGTGCGACGTCAAAGGCGCGCCTTGGTGTATAGACACTGGAAAGGGGCAGACAAGAGTAACGTACAGCCCTTAGGCACGCAATACACGACGGTACATAAAGCAAAACAAAAAAATATTCTGTTCCCATGAGCCGATTTTCGAGAGCTCTCAATTTTCCGCACTTGGCCAGCGCAAATTCAGAATTCTTGCAGTTCGTCGACGAGGTCCATTTCTCTTCCTTGTAGGAGCGCCTCGGCGTCTGCGTGGGATTGCTTTGTTCCGAACGCTTGCGTAGGGGCCTCCTTTGCCTGCTCTCTTCGATTTACGAGAGGAAAACAGCGGGGTGCGTTTGATCAGGAGCCAACCGGGCGGAAGCCAACCTCACTTCAGACCGAAGTCTTTCAAGGAGAACGAAGCTGTTGTTTAGCGTAAATACAGCTTCACAGCTCCCGAGCCACCGCGCCGCCTTGTTGGCACTGCTTTTGGTTCCGACCTATCTATTCCTGAAAACAGAAAAGTAAAACAGAACGCGCCTTTTTGTGGCTTGGGTAAACAAACTAGTTTGCACAAGACTCGCGTTCTCGGTTAGAGCACTACAACACCAAACAAACCAATTACATTTGTTTTTTTCTCTCGAAATTCTCCATCTATAATTACGAAGGCGAAACGAGCGCCGATGGAAAACAGGACGATAGAGGACCCGGATTTAAGAGAGTAAGCAATTTAGACCGCGGAGAGCGTTTGCAATTTAATGGCGGACACCTCCTGGGCGGATTGGTCGCTAGTGCGCATGCGTGTCGCTTTGTCGCGTGGAGAAGAAAAGCGGGCGAAAAGGCAGAGACGCTTGCGGACGATCAACGCCTCCGTCCCTTCCTCGCAAGCTTGGATTGCAAACGCGGTCCATTCGCCACCACGTGAGCCCGACCAATGAGTTGGAAACACTCTGTGATCTGGGCACCCCAGGGCGAGAAGTAGAGAACAGCGCCGCCTTTTGTCTTGAGAGGTAGTTCGAAGAGGTTGAGGCTCGTGCGGAAGTGCTTTGTCTTCGTTAACCTCTTTGTCCATCGGCTTTCTGCACGAGGAATGGAGGACGGCTGAACTAGAGCCACTAACTCGAATTAATGACACCTAAGGAATAATGAGGTACTCGCTGTTGTAGATTCGGAGTACAGTGTGTTCTCTTAATGAATATGTCCGGATTGGGTGAGTGAGTGCCGTTCTAATTAAAGCCAGGAGTAGAAGACTCTCGTTTATTCAACGAAAGTCATGTGCAGTAAATAAAGAAATAGGACTGCGTTCTCACCCGTTTTCTTAAGTTACGTTGAGTTACGTTACGAAAAGTCACCTGGAAATCTGTGCTTCGTACTAAGCGTGGCTACCAATTAGAGGAGATAGCCTGGCAGGCGACATTCGAGACACGCATGTTTCAGTGACGACGAGCTAAGACGCTGAGTTTCCGTGGCAACAAAGGACACAAGGCTCGTCGTAACGTAATGTAAGGAGTTGAGCTCTGTTCAACTTTTCACACAGCATCGTTTTCTTACCTTACGTCTAAGTCGCCGAAGCATTCGTGTCTCGAATATCGCGCGCCAGGCTATCTCCTTGAATTAGTAGCCACGCTTAATACGAAGCGCTAATTTCCCGGTGACCTTTCGTAACGTAACGTAAGAAAACGGGTCTGTGTGAACCAGCCTTTATCCTAAATGCTGTAAAAGCTTAGGGCTTCTAAGATGGCGTTAAAGGGGTAAAACTTCAATTCGTTGGTTTAATGGTTATACAATCGATATACAAGGACTGACGCTAAGTTATTTTCATATGCTCTACTGGTCAGGCGAGTTTGTATATATGACCAGATAAAGGTACGATCCTATTTCTTCGGGCTTCAATTATTTTACCGTGACATCAAACAGCGATCATATTCCTGCAGTAGACATTGTCAGTTCAAAATCAGCCATCGGAAATGGTTCATGCTGAGTTATACTCCGAAAGGGTGCTGGACGTAATCTTACCCCCATGCACCAGTGCACTTAGAAGCAGGAAAGCTAATCATTGGTTTTCTTCAAACGAAAACAAAATCATCTTTCCGGCCAGTGAGAAGGGTGACCATTGCCGTGAGGGTGACCAGTACAGAATAGAGTCTACACTCAGCATAGAAACTGAGCGTCTACTGGATTGACGCACACACAAAGGAAGTGTCTGAAGCCAGCCACACAGGACGCCGCTTTCCGGATACCGTCTGCTAATGTCAACGCGGCAACGCTAGCTTGACACTCCAAGCTTGGCTGCCAAACAGACGTCGTTACGCTCGGAAACCCCCCGCTTCGCTCCGCTCCGCTCACTTCCCGCTCCGTACGCTTCCCGCTCTAAGCGCCGACCGCCTCACCGGCCCCTTCCGGCGGGCCGAGTTCTGAGCGCAGCTGGGTTCTCGCTAATCCGCAGACAGTACGATAGACGCCGCAATGTTCAGCTTATGAAACCATTCAAAGCTCCAAACAAAAACTGGGATTTTAGTGCGGACCAATGTTGGTGAAGCCTTCCGATGAGAAGACTGTCCTCTTGCTAACTCAAGGCGTTAAAGACTCTAACTAAAACTGCCAGCCGTCTATGCGGTCCCGGTACAAAACAACAAAGTCAGGATGAAAATCTCCATTGCAGATTCTAGATTTCCCGTCGCAATTGTGTTCGCCATCCTAACGAGGAACGAGACTAAGAAGAATAAAAAATAGAGAGAAAAAAAAAGAGAACAACAGATGAGCTCACGAGAATACGGTTGAGTGACCTTTTCTTCTTCTTTGTTTGTCTCGGATATATAATTATTCCGAATGGTCGTCGCTCGCCAGTCGTTTCTCATCTGGTGTCCCTTTGGACAAAGAGCAGCTGCAATAGAGAACAAGAAAGAAATAAATTTGTACGTTGAAAATAACTCTTGTGTTTTAAGCAGCACTTCAAGGGTACACTAATTATTTTCTGTGTAGATGGAAGGACGTCTGGTAAGAAAAGAAAGCATGACATAAAGAGATATGCATTCTCAAGTACCCGATCGTCTTCTGCGCCATACTTCCAGGACAGCAATGGCTGGTCGCCCTTTAATCAGTTGATTCAGAGAGAAGCTCGTTCAGTCCCAGTGGGAAAACAACATCCTCATCTTCTTGTCACTGAATCAACATGACAATATAAATTTCTTAGCTAAATGAATAAAAAAAAAGAGCCATTGGCTTACTGACTTTATCACAGTGCTGTTCACCTGAAGGAGCTTGTTGGACTACTGTACAATAAATTACAACCACAGTAAAAATTCTTCTGCGTGTAGCTTTTTGACCCAGCACTAGATTCAATAACTGGGAACTACGAAAGGAACTCGGCGAATAAGAAAGGCGAAACACAAGAAAACTAAATTCTGCGTTGTAACGCTCAGCTTGACCCGAGCACGTTAAGCGTCAGTATGGCCGGATGTCACAAAGCACACACACAATATATATATATATATATATATATATATATATATATATATATATATATATATATATATATATATATATATATATATATAATTTTACGGTCTTGTTTTTTTTTGTAATGCTCGCTCATCGGATCGCGGTGATCGGCTTTCCGTGTGCTCTTCCTGGAAAACAGACGCAATGGCATTTCAAGACCGTAAAGGCATTACGACTTATATAAATAAGTCTTTGTCTGGTCGAACAAAGAAATAGCTAAGAGTGCTCGAAAACAATTACCAGCAAGAAGAGCGCAGACGTGAGTGCACTGTTTTATTAGTCATTGTTATTGAGCGTTGTTAAATGTTTTACGTTTAACATGTGACCGACCAACAGGCCGAATGCTAGACCTTAGTACAGTTAACTGGTCAATGCAAGTGGCCACTCAATTATCTTTACTGTTTTCGAAGTCTTACACAGAGGTTATAAAAGTTCCGCTCTGTTTGTTGTCTTTCAAGCCGTACCGCACAGGGCAGCTGGGTCTGATGCAGTGGAACGACTCCCCGCAAGCCAACTTCACCCGATCCACTCCGTGGATCCCGGTTCATCCGGACCATACGTCCAGGAACGTGGACAACGCAACCGAGGTTATCGACGCCCTGGCCAGACTCACGGACGTCAAGAGCGACATCGCCACCCTCTTCATGGACGGTGTCCCCAACTTCCGCCGCAAGAAGTCCAACTGCAGGGTCCTCTCCCAAGCCTCCGACGTCCTGGTCCTGGAGCGCTTCTATCCCCGGCGAGCTCGTTATGGTGCGGTCATCAACTTCGCGCCGGTCGGCGTCACCAGGGACCTCTCGGACTTCTGGTTCGAGGGCAACGTCGTTGCAGGCACCGGGGCGAGCCTCCCGACTCGGGTCAACTTCAGAGAACTGTACCTCGAGCCCTCCGAAGCCCTCCTGGTCGAGATCACCAGTTGAAACGGTGCCTCGCGCAGAATTTTGCGTTTCGGACCAGGGGAACTGTGACTCTTCGTTACAAAAGAACACGAGCTGTGGGACGTGACTGCGGTTGTGTGTGTGTGTGTGTCTACAAAAGCGACGTCATGGTGTTACAAGTCATCGTCATCGCAAGGACCTTGACGATACTTACGAGCGTTTCTGGAAAACATATGACGTCCGCGGTTTTATTTTCCTTCAGCATGTGTCTCCTAGCCATGTGCCCCTCTTTAAGCCGGAGTCACACTGTTCCTGCATCATATAAAAGACATTGTCTTTTCTGCAGACATAACAGTTGCCTGCGGACGCGCCTCAAGCATGTTCGAAGGATATTCGCTTCATACATTTCCATGGTTCGAATATGTTTGCAGAGAGTTTTTGAACTACCAATGGTGAAAGATCATTATGAAATAAAATACAGTGTCTGCCGACTGTTTTTTACATGATGGTATTCGCAGTGTGACCACGGCCTTTAGCTATACTTATGTCTTCGGTATTTGGGTTCTAAGCCCCATACGTGTTTCTAATGTTACCTTGCTCAGCTTATGAGGTCCACAGAACTTGCATTGCTTTCCTTGTCCTGTAGATGGCTGAAATGCTCAATGTAACAACACATAGAACACAAATTCAGCCGAGTTATAGGACATTCTTGGGGCAGTGGCATATGCTGAAGTCGTCTAAGCGTTTATGGAGCGAAACTAGTGGCAGTCCCAGTTGTTATTATGGTTACGCAAAATGGTTCAGGTGCACGCACTGCCGGTCAGAAACCACGTACGATGTTGTGGAATCAAAATCTCTGTAAGCATATTGAAAGAGAACGTATACATTTAAAAATATTTTGAGACTTATAAATGCATTTAGCACGGTTATCTGCGAATACATACCAAATGATTTTGTGTTCCAGTTTATCGCAAATATGTTAGGACATATTTTAGTGAACGTGTGCCATCACTTTGCCATCACTTCCACGCCATCCGACGTTCGTGTCAATAATGTCCAGTATTTCACCCCAAAGTACGTGCATATATTTTATAACATTTTTACTGCTCCTTGTGCTTCTTGCGTGCTAATGCGCTCTCAGAAGCTACTGTACGCTGTTTTTGTTTTTTTCTTCCCCGTGATACGTTCAGAGCACCAGTCGTTTGTTATTCTTTAGGATTTAGTTAGTTCAGCCAATAAAAAGCACGATCGGTATTATCGTACAATGACCATGCGGCTTCTGTGGAAGGAAGACATCGACCCTTAATCTACTGAAACGCATTTTGACTGGTGTATGATACCCGTGGCTATTCTCATTGGCTGATCTGGTTAAAGGAGGATCAATGATTGGTGTTCCAAGTGTATCGTCGTGAAGTATACGCCAAGGTACCAATGAGAGCGCAGGGTTAGCACTCAAAAGAGCAAGAGCTCCGAGCAAACAAATACGATTAGGTATATTATAACACACGACACCATAGTCCTCAACATATTTTGCTATCTCAACCGCATACCACCCCATTCCACATCTTCTATATTCACCTGCCCATTAGTTACCATTGATGGCTCCATATGTCTTGACATGCATGGCTCGGCTCATACATGTCACAATGTACACAATCACAGGACGTCAAAACAGCCGCCAACTCGGCAACGTTGGGTGCATTCAGATGTTCATCAGTGTCTCTGCTTGTACATCTAACACATATTCACGAGTTGTTGCTGTTGTGTTCCCGCTGAGTTCGGCTCACATATAATCATATTTTTGTAGGCCCATGACTTCGATATGGATATTCTTGTCAACAATGTTTCTTGTTGGAACAGTTCTACACGCCTGTGGATCATGGAAGGCGTCTCCGACGGGTGTGCTAAGCTCGTCGTCAAGTCCGGTCCCTTGGTATTTTCCTGATGACGTCACAAAGCGTCATACTGTTACCTGCCGCGATCCTGGTGGTGTCACACCAGTGGTGGTAGATGTAGCAGATGCCTGTACTGCTACAGGTCTGTCTCCGTCTTGATGACGAAGACGACACCGACACTCGCGTTCGCTCGGAACTTTTCGCCGGAACTTCTAAGGCTAACTGTCAGGACCGCGGCATCCGCCATCAATGTCGCTCCACTTTTTATGACGTCATTTGTAGCCACTTGGGGACCACTTTCGATGCATGGGCAGTAGGACGCTGAGCGCACCGGTCGGGGAAGTGTTCCAAGCACCACATACACGTCATTACTGTACAATGTTTTCCGAGCTGTACAGGCCATGTCTCCGAGTGGAGAACCTACGCATGGCTTGTAAATAGGGTGTACATACAAGGAGCTCAGAGATATAAGGTCTCTTAGCGACACGTCGGGTGCCATTCTGAGGTCTACAGGAGGTTCCTTTTTTAGTTGTACATACGCGAAGCAAAACGTGCCATTGATTCTTTATAAACCAGTGAATTGTATTAGTGTAGAATAGAGTAGAGCTTTTGGGGTGGACCTTCACTTCATGTGCGTTTTGTTCGTCCTGTATAATAAAGGTGTTATGTCTCGGAGGATTGTAGGATCACCAGCTGTGTTCCATATTTATTTCCAGTCACAACTAATACCAGTCAGAGGGCAAACACTGTCAGTGCTTATTTCAATAGACGCTTTTCAAACCTCATCAAGCAACATCGGCCGTCGCCATTGCTTGGGTAAAAATACAGATAAAGATAAACAATGGAAACACTTTAAAAAGGGGGGGGGGGGGGAGGCTGTGTTAGAAAAACATTTATACACATTTTAAGATAGAAGGGATGACCAAATTTTAAGCTAGGGGGCGCAAGCTACCGCCCATTACAAAGTCTATAACCATTACCATTCATCTATACATGGGCTCGAAGCGCCTGATTGGATCCGAGCCCTCGCCGAACGCACTCAATCTTGATAAGAGTTAAGCCTACTTCGCGCCGAACGCTGGAGCAGCTTTCGTATCTGATACATGCCTAGAGTGCGTGCTCAAGCAAAGATGATTGGCGCAGCAATTACTATAATAGGGTCTATTGTAGGTCGCATTACATTAGATTGTTTTCTCATTACAGAAATATTTGTCTTTAATTTTAAGAAAAATGAACTACACAAGACTCAGTTTCTCTGTCTGTGTTCTGAAACAACCCCTTTTTTGAAGATATGTGCAAGAAAATAAAAACTTTTTCGTAAAGGCAGGATTCTTAAGGGAAAAAGAAGCCATTGAGGAAAAATTGTCGTGCAAGCTTTCTTGAAAGGTCACCATGTAGTTGCGATTTATAATTATTGATTCGTTTCGCCCAATAGCTACTGCGAGGCGAGGAGGTCCTTTGGTTAGACTTGCTGAGAGCCAAATTCGGAAGCTTGGTTGCAAAATATGATTTTCTCAACAACCTTCCTGTAATGAGTGATAAGGCGCAGGGGAGCTGGTTTACATTCGTGATTTAATACAACCCGTAGACAGGGTAAACAAGAAAGACAAACACGAAAAAGTCTCAGAAGACTTGGTCGTGTTTGTCCTTCTTGTTTGCCCTGTCTCAGGGTTCCCTTAAATCGTGAACCTTCTTGCGCACACCCTTAAATCTTGCGCGTCAGTTTTCCCCACGAAGTAATAGAGTGAGCCAATCGATGAAATTTACGGAGGGTGCTAGGCAAATGGCGAAGCTGAACATATGTTAAGATCTAAAAAAAAACTGTTTGAACTGTGACCCTGAACGTTGAGTTATTATAATATACGATAGAAGTTCAGCTGGTGCTGATGCGCTAGCGCAAATTGAAGCGGACAGCAACCAGTCGAAAATTGGCTATGGAGGAAAACTGGTGCATTTTTTCTCTGCGCTCAATTATATGAGAAATTATTACGAATAATTACAATGCGCGTAAAGTAAAATGCCTGGAGCATTTATCAGTCACGTAAATAAAAAGATTGGTTAGTTACGGTGCTTTTTCTTTGTCAAATGTGTGTCGTTCAACACAGTGCTAAACCAGCGTCATACATGCATTTATGTGCACTGTCGGGCACTATTAGCGCGAACCCGGCGTCGGCGCTTTTCTGCATGTCGGATTTACGTACTAGGCGAACGTAGGACGCGTGGAAAGGCAAGAGACTGCAAGAACCACGCAGTAAAATTGTATCAGTAATTCTCTGTGCATGTAGACGATCAAAATCAAGTGAAGGTCAAGTCAATAGATTCCGATTTGCAATGTGGACCGTAAGTTTATCTGCTTCTTGCGCAAGGGTTGCGATGTCGTCACAACACCAAGCTCTTATTGACTGATTAGAAAAAAAAGAAATAGTAGGTAGAACTCAATGTTAGATGCCTTGAGGTCTACCCACTATCCTTCCAATCAGAGCCAATCAAAACTCGGGCGTCATTTTGACGTCACCGCAACCCCTGCACAAGAAGCAGATGATTGAACTCCATATAAAAAAGTATTGCTTTAGTGTCTCTATCCGTGGATATGTGGAAAGGTGCTTGTTCCGCGTTCAAAACATCACCCGCACGCTCGAAATATTGGAAAATAGAGAGAAGCCGGAAAACAGGTGCGCGATAAAAGCTTCCCGGTGTTGGAAATATTAAAAAGAGACACCTTTCATAGCCGACGTACTTTATTCTTTATGTTTTGAATGTTTTTAACCGCTCCTAAAGGTGCACGACGGGGTAATTTTTAAATACCTGTCAGGACTGGCATATTTGCAATTTATAAGCGTCAAGGGAATGCTGGCGAACCTTGAACATACCCTACAATCCTTCACAATATTATTTTGCTTAGATTCGTCGCTCGTGTTTCCACACCTCCTGTGGAACACAGGTTATGGCCTGAAATGTAGCAAAGTTTAACATCGTTCACTAATGAAGGCAAATGCGGCGACTAAAGAAATTGCACTTTTACAGTGTTAATCAAGGTTTGGTACAACCCAAATAACAAAGGTTATTCACGTTATTTTTCGGCTAAGTGACAAAATGCGCGCTTCTTTTTTTTATAGGAATGCACAGGAACCCAGCAAACGTGGACTC